TCCCAAGACACTCACTGATGGTGCGTCGAAGTTTTTTACAGAAAGATGAGAGACGATCACGGGCACGGCTTAATTGACCACTTTTTTCCGTATTATCAAGTAACCGAAGTAGCGAAGGTTCGGATCGGGCGGCCACTTCTCCTACGGGGCGAAGAGCCACCGTAGCGGGGCCTTCGGAAACTCCTAAGTTGTCGAAGCATACCGGCCCTGCGGAACACTCCAGTTTGGCAGAGGATCGCACGCGAGCGCGCGTTGTGGTAGACTGCCGGCCGTAGGCGCGGGGACTAAAACCGCCGCCCCGCCCCGTAGAAGTCGAGCCTCGATATTACAGCATGTGGTGCTAATTCAATCTTTGCGACTAAATACTCTCCATCCAATTCTAATTGACGTCGGCGTCGTCATAAATGTCATGTACATGAAACATTAAGTCTTATAAGTGTCCACCAAACAAAAGTTCACAGGAAAACAGATAAAAATCTTTATGGAGAGTTATTAATTTTATAAGTAGTTTTCATTAGATTTGGTAGGTTTCGTTATGTAAAAAGAAATTAAAACACAAACATCCACAACTCTATACATTAACTAAATTACTAGAATTTGTTAGTCTTGAAATTAAAATAAATTCAAAAGTCTTTAATGGGTCTATAGCGTACTAGAAAAGTGGTCTACAATTCAATGTTTATCTTTCGATTCGATCTGCATATCAATTATTTCACGTGAGTAAAAATCACGAAAATTATTTAAATAACCCAAACACGCAGTTATTGTTGTCGCATTTGAACTCTATCAGTACCACATCGCATGCGCGCGTGTCTACCTTTTTATGGAACCAGTGATAATTTAAAGATGACGTCACATCATATTCCGAACTCTAAATAATTCTCGGCTTCAAATGACTGTGTACACAAAATAATGACAAACTAGTGCACTCTCCATGGCTAAGTTCCCTATGCAAACATAATAAATTAAACGTCAAAATACGTCACTGCATCGCACGACCCACTCAATTCTTATACCTTGTTGATGATACATACACATTATACATATATGTTGCACAATGCAGCCATACAGATGAAAAGGGCAAGGAGATATTTGTTTACATATTGAACAATTTTTCTATATTTATATAAGAATGTATCTACGACCTATTTATTCATAACAATCGCAACATCTCTGTGTTACGTAGGTCTAATGCTTGTATTATGTTTGTTGTATAATTTTCAATAGCCCATATCCATGAATAGCGTAAAAGGCGCTTCCTAATAAGTAATAATTCCAATGTTTTTCGATAAGTTATTTAGATGTAGCTAATGCTGCTTCCTTCGTTCCGTTGGTATTAAAATATCATTAGAATGATAACATAATTATACATATATATTATGTACACACAAGTTTCTTGAGTTGATACAGCTGGGCGTACAGAAAGCAGTAAGTTTGTAGTTATAAAAGTTTAGGGAACTTATGCCAAACTTTGTTCCTTTTTGTGCGTAAAAACTGTAAAACTATTAGTTTTTTAAAACACAACGTATGACTATGACCCAGTAGCATTGTACTACAAATAAATTAATCTTTGCGAACAAATATTGATTCGTTGTTGATAGAAAGTAATTACTAATACAGTCAGTACGCAAGTATATAAATACGCTAATAGAATTATGGTTGTCATGGACTCGCGGCAATTGGATTAGAACTTTTGGCGGAGTTTGTTGGGTTCTCCGCACGTGAAGGGCCTCGGGACTACGCACTTATCATTAGATACGATTCCACTTGCATTAAACAAATTGATTTTATATATTCATTCATTTATAATATCGAATGCTACAAACTATGAAAGTATGAAATGTACAATAAATGTAATATATTCTTCGAAATAGAAGGTTCAATACTTGAAAGCGCCATACCATCCTGTGATTAGGTAACACAAAGGAACGTCATCGAAAAGAGCTAGTTAATTTTACTCATTGGAGCGAGAAAGCATTTTGCACTTGTGTACTTCATTATTTTCTAAATCTGTTAGTAACAACTATTTACAATCGTCCTTTACTCTTTACAGCTTAAAATTTTGTTACTTGGTTAATTAGCTTTACACTCTCATAGAGGTACATAATATTATACCTATACAAAATTCAAATTAAAACACGATTCATCTAATATTTTCAAAATTGCATTGCATTTGCAATTTTTTATTTCATATTGCATTTTCAAATCGTTTATGTAATGGTAATTGAGTAGCGATCTTTAAAACGCGATGTCTACATGCAAGTATAGTAGCGCTAATTTACTTCCGCAGCAATTCAACTTGCACAGTGGAAAGTGAAAGAAAGTTAGAAGTGAATACTACTTATTTTATAGACACGTTTTAGGGTTGTCAATGCAGCGAATGGCAAGACAACGCCGCTGTCTGTATGTCCATCACTAGCCTGTCTAAGTACTAAGTGGGTAAATTCAGAAAATCCATTAAATATAAAAGTAATATAAACCCAGTAGCATTAGGCTCATTCATGGTTTCAGTTTTTGCATTAGAATGTGAGGGTCATTAGCCATATTATAACTTTCTAAACATTTCCGTACTAAATCGACGTATCCAAAAGTTGAGACTTATAGCGAAGTAAAAATAGCTAGATTGATGTTTTAATTGCTTCCATGATTAGTTAACTACAATCATGCGAGTGTCGCTGCGCATAATATGCTCACTTGTAACTACGCATAGGTATGTGGAGTGCACAACACCATTGTTCTTGTAAAGTGACACCGTGTTTGCGGTTCTTTACGCTTAACGCGCACGCTCTCCGTCTCTGAATTCGACCAAGGCCCTATTGTCGCAAGAGACTAACCGCGGATAATGGGGGAACCGGTCGTGCCAGCTTTATGACGCATCGCTCACCTTATAATAAAATGCGCCTTCATGTTACTAAGCTGCGTAGTCTTACCGATGTTCGTATTGGAATTGGAACAACCCTACAGTGCTCGTGTAATTACTTATGTGTACCTACATATATTTTATTGATATTTTTACAATTATCAAAATTGATGATACAGTGACGTGCCATCATTATATTTATACAAAAAGGTGAAACGCATTAGTTATGGCATTCTAATTATTAGTCTTGACCAGTACATACACTTATTTTGAATTTGTATTTTTCACCGTTATAATAATGATACAGTATGTTCATGTACCTACATTATTAGATAATACCAAGATATAGTTCCTGATGAAATAAGTCCATGTACAAAAACAAGGACTTGAACTTGCGTTTAAATTGTAAACACTACTAATTTTCGACTGTTTGGTCTGAAATCAATCAATCGAGCAACGATACCGGATCTAAATATTTTATTTATTCCGAATAATTGGAAACAGCTTTATTTATCGGTAAGGAAATTAACTATGTCTCAAAGGCCATTTACTTACACATTGAAATAACGGAAAATGGGTTCTAAAACCATAAGGATAAGTACAGCTGTTATTTATACATGTGCCTTTGCAGACACAAAATAATGTTTACTCGTTATAAAATCTAATGCTCTATTAATACTTTGTACAATTTTCATGTCATAGGCAGCTTTTTCTAAATCTAGTTTTTAATACTTAACATTTATTGGTTGTCATAAGAAATTGAAGTTTTTTTTAATAAATATACGGTTAGATATTCTGTCTTCTATTTATATATCTGTCATTTACCTATCTTACGGGTTAAATCTGGGCGAACTTCCAAGGTAGATCATGACGTTTTTAACGATTATTTTCTTAAAGAGATTAAAAAAAACACGCGACATCATTATACTTGTTACAATGATTCCGTTTCATTCACAAACAACAAACAAGTAGGTCTGCAAAAGATTTATGATAATGATTTTGTAAACAAATGCAAATTTTAACAACTCGGCTCCATGATAAGATTTCTCCTTTAATTGAGTTTGTTTAGTTACAAACACAAATCTGACATGAGTAGATCAGAATTTTATATGTTACCCACATGGATCAAAAATAAGTTTCTTTCTTGCCTAGTTATACTTTAACAGGTCGAAATTGCAATCGAGTCGAGATTGTCATCAAAATGGTCACGTCAAAATACGTCCATTTTGTATTGCGTAATAAGCCATGGTCTGATAGTGAATAAACAAATAATGATACACATGAACTCAACCTTAACAGTCTTCTAGTAAGTACGATGATCTGAACAAAAACATGGTTGTTGGCGAGGACACTTTAAAATGGTCTGAATTAAGTAATTGTGCAAATTAAATTATCAAATTCACCGTAGGAGTTAGCAAATTTATTTTTATCTTATCAAAATATTAAATGTATCAGGATATTTATTGTTTTATAACGCGCTATACACTTTAATTATAAATAATAATTTGAGCGTCATCGGTGACAAATTATAAGTACTGTGAGTGTACGTGTAAGCTTATAATTATCTGTATCTAAAGTTAAAAACTGAACTTCTGACAAATAAAAAATTTATTAAACTTCAACAGCTTAGTTAATACGTTCCATGAATATGAACGAAGTTGGATAACAGCAAGCGTACCACATCATCTCATCTCATGTAGTTTAACTTGGGAAATGACCTTTATCCCTGGTACGACGTAAGTTAATTACGGAGTGATTAGATATTTGATATCTCGGCTCAGAGGTTATTTAAGTATGTAGTTATGAACTTATGAGTAGTCACTTTAAAAGTATAATAAATAATGTTCCTACGCACTTTAACATACCGGTATTCGAAATCAAAACTATTGCATTGTTCTTTCCATTAGAATGAAGTGATAGATTTACAGAAGATACTAACTTTAAAAACACAGATCCTTAGTAGGCGGAGGCCGCAAACGATACTCTTGTAGATAACATTATACAAGTTATACATATCTAGACTTTTTATCAAGATATCAATAAGATTTCATACTAAACGTCACTCACTAGGTAGTCCTAGTCTTGATAACATTTTAGCAATGGTATAGTTATTCTTCAAATGATAAATATTGTTACCTACCAATCTTTTTTGTAACCAACGTAGAAGGTTCAGGTGATTTAACTCTGCTTTGCCGATTTTCAGGGTCGGCGTTAACAGTGTAAGTCCCTCGGCGTCGTAACATGGTTTTTATACAATTTTCTGCACAACAAAAGATCTACCACAGGAGGCACAGCACAGATAACTATCATTCTCATTGACCTTTTCATAGAACAATCTTGATATATTATACGTAGGTATCACATCACGTTTCACAAATCACAACCAAGTGCAAATGATATAACTGTGTAAGTCGCACTGTTACTCACTGTACACTATTTGACACGCGTAGGTAAGTAATGAAACAAAACGACAGATTGTTTTCAAATTACTCGCGTACCGGATAGCTGCCGCAACGGAGCACCACTGAGGAAGTGGGTTACGAACCAATTGGTAATTTTGCAACATGCACCGGCTCTGGCGACCACGTCGGTCGACTGTGACCGACCGTCGACGAGCGAAAGGCAACTCAAAAACCGAGAGTGCGTTGGCACGGTTCTTCCGCGAATGACAGGATGGTGCGGTCATGCCGACCGCGAGATAGCAAGATCGACGACAGTCACTGATAACACGGCCGATAACCATGAACAATTGGCTAGAACCTAATAAACTAAACGTGATACATAGATGCAAATAAAACTTATCGGCGCCTTTTATTGCAGGTAACAAATGCAATAAAATCATACAATATGTATCATAACATGTTGAGCATTGAATTTTTGTTCATCGGATGGTGATGATGAATTTGATGTATACTAAAAAGTTACAAATAATTTATGCAAATATGCCTCTATGTATTGAGGAACATAAAACATGCAAAGGTATTTAACAAAGCAACTATCTTATTATTTGACAACTAATGAAACAACTGATAACTACAAATTGGGTTGAGTAAACTATTAAGTTGTTCGATTGCCATATTACTAAAATGCACTTATTATTTCACTCTATGTTTAACCAGAAACATAACGAAAATACAGCATTCAACATTCTCAGTACTTAACTATCTAAATATTTATCTATAACATCATGATAATAGCAAACTTATATTTACTGGCTATGAGATTAATTAATCAATATTTTTCTGTAAATACCTGATTATGAGGCATGGCAATATTTATAACATTATGGCATTTCTAATCTAAATATTTTGCCTTTATCAGTACACAAAAATATGGGTGGTGAATTTAAGGTTAAACATTAAATCACAACCAACTTGGTACTACTTTTAAGAAAATAGTATTAATAAACATTTTAATTTTAATAAAGTCACTTACTCATTGGTTTAGTGATATTTCACTGCTGATCACAATGTCCCAGATATGATTTTTCCTAAGTCAGATCAAATACATGATTACTAGAGTTAGTTTTTTTAAATTCAAAATCCAAAACAAAAAGAAGTGAATATTGACTCATCTCTGTCTCATAACTAATAAGTGGTATCATAACTAGTTACATATTTGTTTTATGTCTACTTATAAACCACAGGGCAATAACAAACATGTTATTATATATCAGCTTTACATAAGAGATATAGTTGTATGTAATTATTGAATTAAAAAAGTATACACAACTAACACAATCATCCCAGTCTTTGATAATCCTACTGCTGAGAAAAAGCCTCTTCTCGCAAAAAAAAAGAATAAGTAAGCATTTTTCATCACAACTGCACAAGGTTAATTGGAGGTTTAAATAAATTATAATACACAAAGTTTTTTGTCAATGGTCTGTGTAAATATATCAATGGTATCTTGATAATATTAAAGTATGTGTAACTTGGAGAGTCACATCAGTACTCGGCACTTCAATTTTCAAAAAACCACAATAAAAGTTTTACAATAAAATTGATGGAAACAGACGAAATACTAAAACACAAATCCAAAAAGGATAGATTTAATTAACACTAGACAAATATTTGAAGCATTTGTAATGATAACTATAATTGCGGAGGTGGTTTCAACTAACAAATAAGCTAACAGCTAAAATAAACAACATATATAACTATTTCAGCCATGTTTTAGTCTAATTCAAATGATATTTACTTTTGACTCAACTGTGATATTGAATCTTCATTTTTCACATATCTACATATCAAACTAGATAATATGTATATATATCTTTGCTGTTACTAAGGGATATACCCTTAGCAACAAACAAAAAATAGTGAATATGATGACTTTGTATAATTACTTACAAGTACTACTTTCTAAGTATTCAAAAATATCACTACTTTGCTAATGATTGACACAGTAAGTTAAATAATGGTATTTTTTAAGACAAAACATATATTACGGCACATGCATACATACATGTCTAGTAAAATGCCCATTATATTTAAGTCTATTATATGCTATTATGTTAAACATGGGGTTTAATTGTAAAATAATACTTGGTAAATAACAACTATGTAATTTAACCATTTACACCTGGTGTATTTTCATTATTTCATACATTCATTTTTCGTGTGCATTTAAGTAAACCAGAAAATAAATTTAACATTTTGTGTAAAAGTTTAGCACAAAAGTCTTAATGGTTCACCAAGTTAAACAAACATATTACTATACATATAGTTCATACATATAGATAATTCTGACTGTACTTTATGAATAAATATAAACAGGACAACTGGTTTTTGTGTAAAATTAAATTTTGCTTGTGATGTTATCTCTATAAAATATATCAAACACCATAAGTATTTCAAGTCATGACATATTTCTAAACATAATTTGTTACAAAACATGACTGATGTTCTATATTTTGTGTGTAAATAATGTGTAAGCTATTGGGACATAATTGTGTTTGTGTGTACCCCACCCACACACCACTGTGTGTAGTATATACCTAATTAAAATTCCTTACATTTTAATGAAAATTATTTCATGACCACCTGGGCTCTTTATAATAATGTTATTTAGTAATAATTAAAACATATAAAGCAGCAAGAACATCCAAAATACGGAGTACTAGTTAGTAAAGTAAATGAAATGAAATTTCTTGTAGCAATATTTTACAGTGACACTTTCATTACTAACACTTAAAAAAATAAAATTTTCATGGGTGTATATTTTGGTCAAAGTAGCTAATCAATAATGGGGTGCACAGATTAATCAGAGAACCTCCTATAGACTGAAAAGGGAGATGAAATAAAGTTTATGCAAATCAATATAATGTAATATGCTGAAAATATAATTTAGCCAAGGTTTAAGGAACTGATGTGGAACTTCATGCTGAGTGAGCCTACAGTCATGACAGCTCACCAGCCAACTACAAAACCGTGTCATTTTCCTTAAGCAGAAGAGGAACAAATAACTTTAAAATACCATTAAGTAATTAATGACTACTAGTTTTGTACGAAACCCCTAATTTATTACGTCATGATAGATAGCAAGTAACCTCAAAGACTCATTACTAATTTCTATAAAACATGATTTCCCGTAAACTAGGCAATTTACATGAAATGAATTCAAGATTATGGAAAACAAAATGTTGAACTAACAATTTCACGAAATATCCTAGAGATAATCTAGAATACGACGCATTTCTCCTCCAATAGATATTTTGACACGATTTATCTGTCACACGCCAGGCTTATGTGGCAGAGTCTAAGCACCGCCTGTGGCCATTTTTGAAATACTGCGGACATTAAATGCCGTCGATATTGATTAATTCACAAAAATTTGGTAAATTACGTGCTTAGAAGGCGGAATTGTGGCAGTTTGCAGCCATTTTTAAAATTGTCAGTATCGAAATACGTCACAGGCATAAGAAATCACGATGGCCGACAAAAGAATGGTTAGGTGGTATGTACTTACTACTGATTTTTACGCCTCCAAGAGGTGGTTTCGGTGGCTGATTATCGAAAGTCTTTCGAACGGATTTGCTGCCCTCGGCGAATGACGTGGTCCTAGGGCGTCCGCTCATTATTATAGATATAAAATAAACGGCCTTAGAATCCTGAACTTCATAGATGCTTCACATTTCTCGTTACCACCCTTGCACTCGCACTGAACTCACTTTGCCGATGATATACAAGTTAAGGATGGTATAGTCAAAACAATATCACTAAGATACAATAGAAATCAAAATAAGACTGTCTTATTACGGTTTTACAATATCATTTTGTTAATTTTTCAAAATTTACATCACTAAAGTGTACGACAGATTTTAGTTTCTTCAGACTTGTACTCGCTCGTTCGGATAGTTTCGGCATTCGCTCGGGCCTTCGATTGCTGAACATACGAAGATGACGTCACGTAAACGCTTTACAGCGCCATCTGTTGGTGTTGTTGTTCTCAATTTCGAGCTCATTCAGTAAAACAGTTCTCCACAGATGTTACAAAGACAACAACGATGATATTCTCGGTAGCACTAATCAGACAATAAATATAATTAAATTTTGTCCAGGACCAATAACGCAAAAGGAATTAGCTGAAATTAACTAGCATTTGAAACAAAACTATTTCAATACTCACAATAAATGAATAATAGTCGATTCAAGTATATAGTGGAAAATGTTTATCAATATTTCTACGCATAATTTTCTTGAAAATAACTATATATTGTAACTCTGTAAAATTTATTTGTTCACATCAAAATAGAGTAGGTACTCTATTTTGATGTGAACAAATAAATTTCAAATATTTCAGAATTTAAACCTGCACTGACAATATACTACTTGATACTTATACATAATTTAAAGGTGAGCTGAATACTAATATAACTACTACCAATATAGATTTTGTGAGGTCAGGTCCTTCAACAAACTATTGCGATAAGGTTATGTAATGCAATAGACCCCAACATATATTCAAAACACAGGGTCTTTTAAAATAAGAAAATTATTATCAGTAGCTATTACATTGCGCGCTACTGGATACCAGCCGTGAAACAGAACAATCTAAATTCTGCTTATCGCGCAATGTACCTATACACGGACATTTATATTAGTACAACACTCATGTTAGTGGGAAATTTTAATCAAGTAGACTAGTTGCGCGTGCGCCGCGTAGGAGGCGAGCGGTCCGCAAGCGGCTGGAACACCTACAGTACGATGTGATTTTAAATCCACTGCACCACATCTAATGATACCAAGACCAACGTATCGCAACGCAGTTATACAAAATGGAATGTTACACATCGGATAGCTGTGACAGTGACACCAGGGAGCAGAAAACCTTAGATTTGTCGAGTCAAATGTTAGAATCACTCAGCCTATCGTCGGAACTAAAAGGCATTGTTGACGAGAAGGATTGCGCAGAAAATTACGAGATAATTCTCCTCTACAACAACAGGATAAAAGCATTGCCTGATACTTTAAACAGGTTTAGCAACTTGAAGATATTGGATGTGAGTAACAATAGACTCACGGTGCTCCCGGATATCTTTAAACATTGTCAGCTAACGTCGCTGATAGCCAAACATAATCAACTCACCAATGAATCGCTTCCGAAGTCGTTCTTTAGTAATAAGAGTTCGCTGCGAGAGCTCAATTTAAGCGGAAACCAATTGAACTTCTTTCCAGAGCAAGTTTTAGATATAGCATCTCTTAGGTACCTTTACTTAGGTGGTAACAACATAGTCAACATACCAAAGGACATATGGAAACTTAACAGGTAAATACCTATAACTTATTTTTTTTAATGGAAGTACCTATCAGTTGCATCCTTGGTAGTTATTGGTCTCCGCTATGTTCGTCTTCGTCAGTGAAATGGTCATTTTCTACCTGGTTGGAACTGGTGAGCTACTATTCTCTTCATGCTATCTTCTCATAATAACAATCAGTAATTCATAAACATTAAACACTGGAGAGCTCTTTGTCTAATCTACTGACCGGTCATTGTCGAGATATAAACCTACTCAACTATTCAAACAACGTATCTAGGTATAAATATAATTAATACGTATATAGTAGGCATATTTAAAATGCGATTGTTCTACGTTTCCTCGCTAATATTTTGTTATACTCACCAGCTTTATATTATTGTGTTAAACAACGTTACTTTTATATTAGGTAGTATAAAAAGAGCAATGAATATGAAAGTCAAAGATAATAAGTTTGTCCATGCATAAAAATAATGTTTCATTATCCACTCTACGTCGTTAACAGCAATTTTCGCTTATCATGTCGAAACTGATATAATTTTTGTTATCTACCAGTTCAAGCAGACAAACACTACAGTTTCTCTGGATATCAAAATGCTGTATCATGCCATTATGTGTAAAATGATAGCGCTACAGCTCTGCCGGCCGACTGACGACATACACTTAGATAAAATATAAATATACAAAGTTTGTAATCGTTTCATATGCACAGTGGCTAGACATCGCAAAATTGCCTAAAGATGTCTATTAGCAAATCTTACCTACTACTTATTCTTAGTTATGATACGTGACCTGATATACCAAACTATATCCATAACTTTCTGTTTTAGTAAGACGACTTAGGTGTTATTGTTAAGGTTTATGGCGCATAATTGTTATTATAAGTAATAATAGTAAGACCTAACGAGAATTATATTCGACTTCCGTAGATACTTGTAAGCTTCTAGGTAGGTACTGAACGATTGAATGATAATTTACATTGACCTACCTGGACCTACCTCAGACACACCAACTCCTATCAGTTTGTCACTTGTTGCGTCAAACAAGGAGAGAAAAAGTTATAGCCCAATCCCTGAGTATAAGGTAGTAACTATCGTGAGAAATACTTAATTTATTCAAAACTAGCAGCTCGCCCCTGCTTCGCACGGGTCTTATCATCTCGCTTACGATGAAAGGGTCCGTATTACTCAATTCAACTCTCTACTTTCTTTCATAAGAACCTTCTCCTAACCATAACAAACACATTAAAAAAAGAATTGGCAAAATTGGTCCAGGCGTTGTTGAGTTATGCGCTTACCAACATATTTTGCGATTCATTTTTATATAATAGATAATGACTTAACGACGCAGCCAACTCAGTTGGCAGCGTGACGTCGCGGCGTCGGCGCGCTGCGCTTGAATAAGAGTCCCGTTTTCACTTGAAACTAGTAGAGCGTTTCTCAGTTGATTCTAAGTCGTTATCTTCAATAAAAAACTAGTATGAGGTCTATTATGCCTAGCGCTATAATAACTACTATATTATAGACCAACAAAACTTATGTTGAATATGTTTGGCCTTACTGTCATTAATTCATATTTTTGTTTATCCTAACAGTTTGCAGATTCTATCTTTAGGAGGAAATCAAATTATAGAAGTTCCTGAATCTGTTGGACATCTGACGGGTCTCCAAGCTTTGGTTCTAAGCGACAATCTAATAGAGCAGCTACCAGCGAGCATAGCTAGATTGAATCAACTGCGATCCTTATTAATTCACAAGAACAGATTGAAGACTTTACCTACACAAATAATCAAACTAAGATGTTTGACAGAGGTGAGTTCATTTTTATCACTGCGCTCTAATAGTAGGTAGGCGTAGTAAGTGACTAACTACCTAAGACAAAATATGAAGCCACTAGGTTATAAATGGTTAACCAAAGGTCCCATATGGATAAGCAGATATTCTTAATTAATCTCTGGGGTCTTGCGATTCTATGTAGGTATTGTTGTTCTAACTATGTACCTATAGATCTATTGTCTGAAGAAAAATAGTGCTACTTAGGTGTACATGTCGCCGTTTCAGTTGTTTTAAAGACTGCGGTATGTACTTAGGTAGGTATAAACGCAAGTGAGCAGGTACATACCTTAATACATAACTAGGTACATGACTGTGATAACACCACCAAGATTTATGATTACTTGTCTTTGGCAAGAGACTTGTCAAGAGAAATAAATAAATCGCCGTATCGAGAACGCCTGAAAAAGTTACTGGTCCATAAAGCAATAGGTACATGAAAGGTGACCTTATAATAAAAAGTCTTTTCACCAGTGTTCTCCCTCTGAATTAGGTAGATACTATATTTTTTATACACCATGCAAATAGGTGACTTACAGCTAGATTTACATCAACTGGAGTAATCAATGCTAAAAACAGTTAAAAGTAAATAAGTACCTAGGTGTGTTATAAACTTATATATTGATATATATAGTTGTATCTACTTAGGTAGGTAACCAGGTACCTACACGCTTTACATCTTAGTGGCTGACGGATTCTGACAAGTTGGTAAATGTGTAAATACCTACTTCAACCTTAGGCAGCAACCTTATTCTTCTTTGCCTTAGTGGTTGGACTAAGTGTCGGAGTGGATTCACATACGGGTGGGAAAAACGGGTCTCGTAAAATAACATCTAGGTACCTCCCTGTTAATGTTAGCACCGATCGAAAATACGTTTCTCAACTGGAGAATGAATCACCTTGCAACTTCTCGTCCTACAAAACAGATTTGCATTATTTACTTAGATCTAAAGACTCGAAAGAACTTACCTTCCTATTTAAGTGTAAGTAAATACTAATGCTAATGTACTTCATCTATACTTTGCAGCTAAGTCTTCGCGACAACCCTCTGGTAGTGAGATTCGTGAGAGATATGACATTGCAACCTCCTTCGCTATTAGAGCTGGCTGGTCGCACTATCAAGCTACATGAGATACCGATACGGGCAGGCGAAGTGCCTTTAACGTTAATGAGGTACCTCGGAGCAGCTCAATGTTGTGTTAATCCGAAATGTAAAGGTAATATTGTTTTATTCTATGTCTTATATAATGGTAGTATTAATATAATTTAATGAAGACCTTGACTAATCTATGCCATTCGAACCTACTTACTTAGGTACTACTTTAGCGCTTCTATCTAAGAGAGATATGTACCTACATAGAATGGCACCAGCCATTATTAGAGATGAACACATTACTTGTGCTCTCATTATTATTGCCAACATTCCGATAATAATACGAAGTAGGCGAGTGTGAATCGCAATTGATGCTCGTAGAGAAATCTCATATCTCTGTGGTCCCAATAACTGGGACTAGACACTAGAAAGATAACAGATATGCTCTCGCAAAAACTAAATACCTAGAAATATACTAATATTTAGTGAAATAATATTTTCAGTGCCTCACTTCGTTAATTGCATCTAGTAATTATGGTGTTTTACAAAAGACGGATTCGTTTCTTCTCTTTTAATGCAAACTGAACTGTTTATGTATTTTTGAGAATTACTTATCGCTCTGATAAAAATGTTTAAGAATTTTAACGAAAAACATTTACCTACTTATTGGTACTCACAACAATAAATAAAACCCAATGCGCATTTATCTATCATGTATTATTACGGGCGTTGACAAATAAGATGGCGCGCTTGGAGTCAATAATTGAGGATAAGTGTGCGTCACATAGTTCTATCTACCACACGTGGAGATTAAATTATTTGTTGATAAAACGAAAAGCTATAGTTTTTGAAATCTGATCCAGCAGACAAATTGTGTATACAATTTTGTTGGACATTTTATACTTTTTATAATGTAAAATGTACCTTTTAAGCAATAATAAATAAATAAATAATAAATATATTTTTATGAATTAAATTGTTACAGGTGTTTTCTTTGACAATCGCGTGGAACACATCAAATTTGTCGACTTTTGTGGCAAATACCGCATTCCACTGCTGCAATACCTATGTAGCTCTAAGTGCATCACTGGAAGCTGGGAGAGTCGTGAGGCGGATAACAATCCTCATCCTCACATGATGCGGAAAGTTCTCTTGGGCTGACTATAGTAACCTGAAGTGTGATAAAAAAAAACTATTCCACTGTATATTTTATACCTAAATAAATGTTTTGTTATATTATTGTTATGCAGGAGTCTAAATTCGTTTTAATTACCTAAAGTAAATAACTGTACCAAAAAATATAGACAAAAAATAATTGTAACTAATTTTCAGCTTTCTTTTCATTTCTTTTAACAACATTGGTAAAATTTATTTTAGGATTATATTGGTGAATAAAATATTGGGGCCATGGTTGTTTTATATATTCATTCTAAGATTATCCTTAGGTACTTGCACAAATATGTGCCCATATGTGATACATTTTATAAAACATTTATATTGAAATAAATAAAGTATATTTTCATTTACAACTATTTTAATTACACTTTCCCTATTAACAGATTTTTAGTTGTTTTCTTGTAAAAATTTCATTCTTTCTTCTTTGCCTCTCATAATGGCAGCTTTGAATAACTTGCAGTAAAGTTGTATGGCTGCGGGAGTGTCATCATTACCTGGCACTGGATAAGTGATAAGGTTGGGATTGCAGTTGCTGTCCACAATACCAATAGTTGGTATCAACATTTTTGCACTATCTCTAACAGCTGTATGCTGATTCAAGATGTTATTTTGTGTATTCAAAAATATGCATAGATCTGGCAATCTAGTAACAGCTCCAAACTGATGATTTGCATTTGTGAAAATGCCTCCTCTCCAGAACCTTGTGTGTGCATATTCCCCACATTCTTTGGCAGTTTTCTCAACTAAATGGGCATTCAAGGCATTTCTGTTGAAAAAACAAATAATTCCTCCTCTGTATGCAATATGTGCTGTAAAGTTTAAAGCCTTTCGTAAATGCTCTGCAGTGATGTCCAAATCAAATATTAGATGGCCAAGTCTGGACCCGTAGAGGTATGGTCTCATATAATCATTCAATGAACCTTCTTTGTGACCATAATGAACTCTGGCATCAAACAAATCTTTTACTGTGAATAAGTTATGGACGCTAAAATAATCTGGATGGTCCAAAATCTTTTTTGATGGTGCTTGATCTGAAAAACAAAGTATTAGAACAGTTACTGTTAATGCTCATTAATTAATTTCATAAATTCATCCAAGTTTCAAAATTACTAAATTTAAGTTTATTTATACAATTGCTAAAATAACTCAATGAAATGTAGATATGTTACAGAAATGATATTGATATTCTTGGTATATTGTTGATGAATATCTTTCTTACAAAGTTATACTAGATTATAAAACGAATATATTTATGCTATCTTATTTTTCCAGCTAAGTTTTACAGCATATTATACATATTATATAGTATAGTATATTGTATATTTATATGTATATTTTAGGTTATAGTACCTATCAGTAAACTTACCTTCAGCTACAGGAGAAGCAACAGGTTCTGTGGCAGTGGAGTTATGTCGTAAAATAGGCACGGTACGAATAAGCCCACGGTGCTCTAAAATCATATATTATAATATATAAATTAAAAATTAACAAAAACTAATAACAAGGTATATAAGAAAAAAATTATTATAATGTATAAATCAAGCAAAAATGTAGCGTTACTTACTTATGCAATTTGAAAACATTATTGCTTCCTTTTGAGGAGCTTTTGTTTACAATATATTACTATTTATTTATATGGAGAAACCTTTCGTAATTTCTCAAATCAAAAATAATTAGATCTTTGACAGTTAAATAGTGAGGTTATATTAATATGACCAAAGAGATTATTTACTTCTAATACTTGATTTTTTCTTCTATAGTAGGCATCGATCACTAATACTTTATTAGTGATCGATGATAGTAGGTAATATAATTTATGATCCAGCTGTCTAAACGGTGAAAAGCACGAATAAAGTCAGTTTATTATTATTTATTATATTTTTTTATAAACAGCATTATACCGTTCTGATTTTGTTCCTACAACGAATTTTAATCTTTAATTATCTTAAATCTTAGTAAGGTTATCGACAAAAATTAACGGTCTAGCTTTATAAATTCTCTTCTCTCAGAAATAAAGCCATGTACAATGTTACAATATTCATCATCTTCATCATCAGTATTTTTGCAGTAGGTAGGTACCTACCTAAACAGTAGTGATAACCATCTATGTTTTTGACTGTCTCTATGGACTCAATATGTCATCCAAACTGACAGCTGACGTCATAATGTCACAACATCGTGTAATTTTATTGTTTGTGTGAGGTAAGGAGGTAAGGAACGAAGGTATCAATAATAAAAGAAATTTAACATCATTAAATACTTATAGAATTTAAACAACTAACACTGACAAAATGGCACCGAAGAATATTCAAGATGTAGACTTATATGCGCTGCTGGATATCCCAATAACTGCAACAGAATCAGAGGTAAATTTAGTTTTGTTATTTACCATGCTATTTTGTTTTAACATAAATAATGAATTAATTTATGTTTTCAGATTAAAAAGGCTTATCGAAAAAAAGCTCTAAAATGCCATCCAGACAAAAATCCCGACGATCCTAAAGCGGCTGAGACTTTTCACGCTCTTTCCGACGCTTTAGAAGTGTTGACTGATGCCTCTGCTAGGGCAGCTTATGATAAAGTACTAAGAGCTAAAGCTGCAGCAAAATTAAGACACCAAGAATTAGATAGTAAGAGGCAAAAACTGAAAGAGGATTTAGAAAGGCGGGAAAAAGAGGCAGAAACCAACAAAGGGGGTTGTAACCTTACAGATGAACAGAAATTAGCTGCAGAGATTGAAAGATTACAGAGAGAAGGTAGCAGGCTATTGTTGGAAGAACAACAAAGAATGAAAGAAGAAATACAAAGAACCAAGGGACTTATATCTCAGCCTGTGTGGGATTCAAGTTTAAACAGAATTAAAATAAAATGGAAAGCAGATAAAAATGATCCAAACAATGGTGGTTATGATGAACCTAAACTAAGAAGGTTTTTGAAAAAGTATGGGGATATAATAGCTTTGCTAGTATCTCCTAAAAAAAATGGATCTGCTATAGTAGAATTTGCATCTAAAGAAGCATCAGAAATGGCTCTAGAATTTGAGAAAGGTAAATTAAACTTCTATTTCAATATAATACTAACTTATGCCTTCATCCAAAGTACTCTGAGAAAAAGCACCTACTGTGTTATTACCATTTATCCCTGTTCCAATTTTATACAGTTCTGTTCAGAAGCATTTATATGAAAATGCAACAAAAACATCCTTATAAACCTTCACATATAGAATATCACTTATCAGATACTAATAGTCATATCAATGTTAAAGTGCCAGTAACTTATTTGTAAGCAATACATCAAAAGTTTGGTGTTGTCTAGTTGTACTTTAATAGAAAACTAGCTCTTACCCGCGGCATCACTCCCCATTTGACTACCTACCCTACTCTACTTACCCTGGGTACTCTAAGTACCCTACACTACCTACCCTAGGTACTCTAAGTACCCTACACTACCTAACCAACACTACCTACTCTATCCTATCCTATGTCTTCCTAGTTTGTAGCTATCTCAGTACGAATTTTCAACCAAATCAAACCAACCGGTTCAGCCGTTCTTGAGTTATAAATTGTGTAACAAATACGACTTTCTTTATATAGATATGTGAAAAACACTTCTTATTAAAAACATGATAAAAAAGCTCCAAGTCCCTAGCAATAAAACTTCACTGTCAATATTTAAATGTTTTGAACTTTTTTTATTTTTATTTTGTAGGCTTACCAGATAATCCTTTAACACTAAAATGGGTTAATGAAAGACCAGTTCTGACAACAAAGAAAGAAGCTCCTGGTCCATCACTCATCTCAGACAGGGATTATGAATCACTTGTCTTAGCTAAAATGAGGCAAGCTGCAGAGAGACAAAAGTTAATAGAAGATATGTTAAAAGAAGAAGAAAATAATAAATCACAATGAATTGCCATTATACAATAAATTAATAAAAATCTTTTTGAAAATATTATCCTTATATTTTATTATTAATTAATTAATATTAAACATAGTTATTTTACAGAAACCTTAAAATTATGCTTACAACACAACATAATTTCACATTCCTCTTTCCACCACCCACAAGAGGTGAGTGCAAATTACAAATATAACACCTAGTATATTATAATCTATTATTTTTGAGATATTAGAAAATATTCTCCATCCAGGCCTCATCATCAAGAACCACTTTCTTGGCAGTTCTATTGTTTAAAAGGATCAAAAGGTTTCCATTCTTTTACAAAGTTCATTACTTTTCGCCTCTGACTTTCCCCATTTTCTTTGCGTGGTTTTTTCCAAAGACTGTGGTCTAAATCCAAAATTCCACCAATAATTTCCTGGAAACAAAATATTGCATAATGTAGGTAGATACTAATTAAGTTAAAGATATGCTAAAATGGTTTTTTTAGTTACCTCAGCAAAATTTTTAGGAAACAGTTGTTGATCTTCAATGACATGAGCAAAACCAGGATCCATACCAAAATCAATCCAAAAATATGGTAAGCCTTTGGGTATTCCTTTTCTTATATTCTTGCCTTTTAAGTCTACAACCTTTTTATTCATAGACCATTCTGCTTCACACTCTAGAAGGGCCTTTTTGAAATAAATTGCGGCCATATCTCCTACATCCCTTGGTAGGGGCACACAGTTTATAACCATATGTGGGTATCTATTGAGCCTAGTTGCTGTTTCAAAGAACACAACATCTTTTCCCTGAGAATTGTAGAACTGTGTAAGAGCCTTTCTGTAATTCTGAAAGAAATAAAGAGTAATTTAGTAAATTATTAAAAATATTAATATACTGGGGAGGCAAAAAGTAATTACCATTATTTCTTCCCACACATCTTCATCTATGGATGTTACACAGGTAGCATGTTGAACAGTGGTGATTATACAGTGATCTGGCACAAGGGACACTCTTGCAGGTAAAGCCACATAAACTCTATTTCCACAGCTGACCATAAGATGCTTCAACATGTTCTTTGAATCAACACAATGTTCACAGCCTTCTAGAGTCCTTTCCATTTTGATATGCTGGCTAATAGCTCGACTTCTCTCATTTTTGCTTTCCTTAGCAGCATCTCTGTTTCTTGATATGTTGTCCATAAAAATATCTTCAAGATCATCATTAGGATTTTTGTGTTTAGCAGCAAGTTTGGCCAATTCAGCTTCATCATTGTAATTGTTTCCATATTTTTCTTGTTGGAACTATAATGAGATACAATTTTATTAAGTATTACAATAACAAAGTCAGAAAATTACAATAACAGACACATAACTCAAAAAGTCTTACCATTTGTGCCAAATTATACTTGTCATCATCACCAAAGTACTTGGTCCTTTCCCCAGAAACATGTGTCTGGGCCTTCCTTTTGCCACTCTTGCTTCTAGGATCTCCTTTTTCACTACTACTTGTAAGAGGCCGACTGCTGCCAGATGAGCTGGTTGCTATTAACATCACTCTGTCATCTTCCTCCTCAGCATCAGCATCAGGATTTTCCTTTCTATACTTTCTTGCAGCTTCTAATTTAGTTTTCAGTTCAGTTACTAGTTTTTCATCACCTAATATTTCAGCTTTTACAATTTTAGCAGCTAATTTGTTCATTTTCTCATCACTCAGATATTTAGTATCTTTTGGTTTATCTTCCGGTATATGAGGTTTGGCAGTATCTATCTTATGTGATGGCATAACAATTTCTTCTTTTGATTTTTGAGCAAATGATTCTAATTCTTTTTGTTCATTAGTTTGCTTCCGCCAATTACTTGATCTTCTGTATGGATCTCTATCTGAATATTTTTGATCCTTATAGTAGTCTTGCTGCTTTTCCTGTGACTTTCTACTAGAATAGCTGGTAGTACTACTTGAATAAGAACTTTTGGGTTTAGAAGAATAATAGTCATCATCATCATCAGATGGTTTAATAAATGGCCTTGACTTTCTGAAGCTCTCAGGTGTTTCTGGTACCCCTGTTCCACCATTTTTCCAATATGGATTTAGTTCTCTGCTGCTAGTACCAGGATTGTAAGAGTCAATGTTCTTTTTATCCTTTTCTTCTCTCTTGGGCTTAATATCCTCCTTTGTATATGTCTTAAGCATACCTGTCATTGACATCCAGTCTTCTCTCTGGGCTGCATTAGTCTGTCTTGTTTGTTGTTCAACCCATTCATCAGATTCTGAACCACTCGAGCTGGATGACTAGAAATAAATTGATTAATGTAGGTCAATAATTTGTACAACATCAATTGAAATACTATGTACCTAAAACTTGGGAAATACTTCGAATAAGAAACTTACACTTGTAGAATGCCTTCTACTCTTTTTCTTACGTCTTTCACGATCTTTGGATTTGTGTGATTTACTGTGTTTGCTTTTTTTCTGCTTTTCATTCATGATTCAAGTGCAAGTTGAGCTGGACTATATTAAAAAGTACGAAGTATGTATGTAACCAAACAAATAACAATTTCCAATATTTTCCGTTTGACAAGACAATTATTCATGACAATGCATTGAGATAGAAAATGTATAGAGGCGCCGTGTTACTATAGAAGTATACATGCTTATACAAATATGAGGGAAATATGAAACAAACTATGAAATATCATTTTTTCTCACTCTTTCTAAGGCAATAATTGTATTAGACAAAAGAGACAACGATATTTAAGTTGTTGCTTAATATGGAAACAAATCATTTTGACATTAGCAAAGTTGTAGGTAAGTGCCATGTCCGCCATCTTAAGCGCTCAGAGTACCTGAGTTTCATGGTAGTAGTCCTGTCAAACGGTTGTTTATGTTTTAAATTATTGCGGTTTTTCAGTAAATTACAAAGAACCATTTCTTTAAACTTCAAATATATATAGTGAAACAAAAAAACAATATGCCTGTGTGTTGTATTGTGCAGTGTGGTGCAAAAAAGAACGAAAATCAACCTCAATTGTCTTTGTATAGGTTAGTAAACAGTTTTCATCAAATATTACTTAGAATAATCCACATAGATAGAAAAAAATGTCACGGATACTTTAATCTATTGCCAAAGTATATATATTTACTTTTATTTCTGTCTGTGAAACAGTTTTAGTAAAAAATTGTTGTTTACAATAATATGTCAATATGGCATAGTTACGTACCATTTCACAAAAGTATCGATATAATCTCCCATTTAAAATTCAACATATACTAAATAATCTATTTTAACAATGGATGTTTCCGCAGTTTTGTGTAACGCTAAAGTAAGACGTCAGTATTTTGGTATTGGTTTTAGTTACATAAGTGGAAGTTCAAATTATCATGTTTTATAATTATACGGGCGCGATTGACAGAGCGGCGTTGGCGACGATCCCAGTGCGACCACCAAGCGTAATAATAAAAAGTGAGATACATACAATAAGATTGACTTCACTACATATCTATTTTCTGCTAACGTAGTTTCGAAGATATCATCGTTTAATCAGACGCGCCGAAATTGTGCGCGAGCACTTCACAAATACCCACAGGTTTTCCACATATATAAAGATAAACATTTAACAAACACTATCTTTTTCTATTTCACCATTCCATTAAACGATGTTCATAAACACAGTCCTATTTTTTTAAAGACGCTTTACGTAGAATTATATGAATACAAATTCGACTTGAGAAAATCATTAGCCAATCAAGACACCAAGTTAACCACGGGTTCCGGGCTCTAGCTAGGCCGACGGCAAAATAGGAACAGGAGTTGATTTTAGTCAGTAACGATCTGTCCCGAAAAAGGCCGGAGATGACATTAGATGATTTCCCATAAAAAAATACCGTTAATCAGCTGGCTAATCCCTAAAACTATACCTACGTAGAACTTTTACTCAAATTGTATCGATACTCGTTAAATACTTAGTCGGCACAACCCTAGCAACGGCAGCCATCTTATGCGACATTTTGGATTGTAGGTAGGCACCTTTTTCAAGTAGGTATTTCAAGTCCATATATTTCCTATGTCAATGTGACAATGTCACAGTTTAGACAAAGTCTTTATCTGTCAATTACCTAGTATGTCAATGTCATTTGTAAATTTATGATACGTTTCGTGAATAGAAAGGGAAACATTCAATTCTATAAATCATTAGTGGGTGAATTTTGTGACGACAACTTCGAAACTTTCACACGAAAGTAGCTGAAAAGGCTGTGTCGGAGATATCCCGTCTACGAATCTTTCTAATCGCCTTCTATAGGACCATATTTTGGGAGAACAAAGAGAATATAAGTGGGAGAATAGTGTTGTTGTTTAATGCTTGGACCACACTAACGGGAAATGCCATTCATTACCTGTCGCGATAGTGTTTAAGATCATCAAATTAAATATTATTCTAATTATCTCGATAATTATTGGCATTGCTCCTTAGTGTGGCCCAAGTTGACCGCTATCAAATTAATAGCACGGGGCATTTAGTAATCTATGTATTTCAAATTACCTTAGTAATTAAATAAGCTACTTCTATGACTCTTTCATTGTGGTTTTCCCACAGTTACCAAGTTGTTTTATTTATGAGTAACTAAGGTGGTAGATATTAATGAAGTTTTCTATGATATAGAAACGGCACCTGCTCCACCTCTCTCGTATTTCATTAATTAAATGTAGGCATTTAATGAAGGTTCATTGTTAATCTATTACTTGCTTACTGTTTGTTATTCGAATAATTTCCAATAAATTAGTAAATTAGATTAAATTCTTGGATAAATTGTGGTGTTACGGCACGAATGAATCGGCTCGACCGGAGTAATACTACGGCCTTACAGAAAACCAGCGTGAAAAACCACAGGGTAATGTTTCGCCGTGTAAGGGAGGTTACCGGAGGCCCAATCCTTAAAATGAGAGCTGCTCAAGTTAAAGCCATTAAAAACTACAATCTCGTATTGGAGTGGAGTATTCGTTAAGGAATGCAGTTATCGACATATAAAATACACATCTCTAACTTTTGTCAAAATCTGTGAAATGCGATACTAGCGCTTCGCGGCATCGAATGAAAACTAGTAACAAAAATGAGTGTCCCACCTGTCTCTGACTAGTTTATAGTAATCTGTGACTTTACCTGAAACTCTTTGGTTGTTGGTTGCTGTCGTTTATCGTTTTATAAAGCGATTTTGTTGTATTTTACCGTGTTAATGTTGTTATCAGCATATTTCTTGAGTAACAAAGTCGGTTTCAATTGGAGTACATCTTTATTAGTTTGCTGAAGTGGTGGAATTTTTAATATCATTACGTTAATTGAATTTGTTGTGTTATGTACCTGTGCGGAGCATGGATGCCTGCTGAGGAATGTCGGAATACGCTGTTGATTTAGTATTCTGTATGTGTTCGTAACTACTTAAAGCTCGAAGTACACTGCTCGAAAGTAACTGTGAGTAACTTTTTGTTTTATAACTTAAAAGCGTAGCGATTTCCCGTATCTAATTTGGTGTCGATTTGTGTTATCGTAAAAGAAAGTATTAGTAATCGGTTAGCTTTCCTTTCCTAAGTATCATTACATAAAATAATAAAGAATCGTTAATTTGATCTACTAGATTAGCAGGTAAACAACACATAACCATGGTTATACTGTTTTGTTGGCAGTGCATACTACATAATGTTTTCTAAGAAAAAGAAAAAGCCTCTGATTTCGCCGCCAAGTAATTTTGAACACAGAGTACATACGGGCTTCGATAAACGAGAGGGAAAGTTTGTTGGACTTCCTTTGCAATGGGCCTCACTTGTAGGCAATAACCAGGTATGTACTTGTGAAGATTTCTATTTGTGAACTAGGTACCTATTTACCACAATAAACAGTGTTGTGTTTTCTTATTATCTGTCAAATGGGAATTCTACATACCTATTTGTTTTTTACATGATGTGCAGCTTTGTAGATATAATTAGGTATGATTGTTTGTTTTTTCATTACTACTGTGCAAAGAAACTAATTATAGAAGATTATTTTCTAATTAGTTTGCACTTTTTTCAGATATTAAAATCAACAAACAGACCACTACCCCTGGTAGACCCATCAGAAATCACACCCACCGAAATTCTAGATTTAAAAACTATAGTAAGAGGTGACCACAGAACTACCTCAGTGTCCTCAATAGCACGCCCTATACCTTCAAGCATACCACAGCAACCAGTACAAAATGGTGTTGTGTTGCCAAAGACATCAAATGTGGCCAGGTCAAATTCTTTAAGAAGTACTAGCCCACCGAGAATAAGAAGGGATTTGAGAAGTCAGCCTAATGTCCCTCCATCAGTGCCTGAAGAATCACCACCCGTGCCACCTGCCCCTCAGCAGTACTTGAGCTTAAGACGAGAACACAGCAACTATACATTGAATAAGCCTATAGCAGAATCTCCTGTGGAATGGAGTCAACATGCACATGAGGCTACAATCAGACAAGTACCAGAAATCAATGATAATCATCATCCTATGACCTATCAGAATATACAGAATGCAAATGTACCTTACCAACACAATCATCCCCCACAACCAATGACACATGGACCTCACGGACTCAATGGAAACAACATTAACATGGGTATGTGAATCTATTTATTTAAAAAGAAAAATATTCAAAATGATAAAATATTTATTTTGAATGTAACCAAATATTGCCTTCTCTGTTCATTCAGTAAGACTGGACTCATTTTGAGCAAGAAAATAATTATAATTTGGAGCGGTGAACATGCAATTGTACATAAAGTAATGTGAATGTAAATTTTCTAGCATATTGCTGGTACATTTATTACTAATGCAGTCTTGTCACATAATTCATTTATATCTTCAGCAGAATTAACATGTTCAATAAGTTTCTTTTGACTCAATAACTTCTATGGTTGAATAAAAAAAGTTTATGAATCAATAATACTGGTTCGTAAGTATATATACTTAGTCGGGTCATAAGTTCTGTCAAAACCTTATATTTTTAATTTTCGATTACTGGCCAGAAATTCTTCGACTTATTTTAAAAATAGAACTTTCGCGCTTGTAGAAAATAAAAAAGAAATTATTTTTTATTCATTTTTAAATATGGAGTGGTCGAATAAAGAAGACAGAATCGCGGTTATCGCGTTGCACCGCTGTGGTTACGCGCCAAAAGACATTTTCAATATTCTTCAAAATTTGAAAATAACGTTACGGTTTGTTTATCGTACTATCAAACGATACACCGAAGAGTCAAGCTTCGAAGATCGTAAGAGAAGCGGCCGACCTCGCACAGTTCGGACACATAAGGTCATCAAAGCAGTGAAGGCGCGAATCGAACGAAATCCCGTACGTAAACAAAAAATCCTAGCTCTGCAGATGGGGCTAAGCAGAACCACTGTTAAAAGAGTACTAAATGAAGACCTGGGACTACGAGCTTATCGTAAAAAGACAGGACATTTTTTGAACGAGCGTTTAAAAAAAATTAGGCTAGACAGATCCCGCGCTTTGCTACGACGGTACGCGGGAAAAAAATACCGCGAAATTCTTTTTTCGGATGAAAAAATTTTTACTATTGAAGAAAGTTTTAACAAACAAAATGATAAGGTGTATGCCCACAGCAGTGAAGAAGCAAGCGCGCGTATTGCGAGGGTCCAGCGTGGGCATTACCCTTCCTCATTCATGGTTTGGCTTGGAGTCTCATATTCAGGCGTAACTGTGGTGTTTTTCTGTGAAAAAGGTGTGAGAACTAGTGCCGAAGTTTATCAAAATACTGTCCTAACAAACATAGTGGAACCTCTTTCTCAGACAATGTTCAGGAACAGGCATTGGATATTCCAACAGGACTCTGCACCGGCTCATAAGGCACGAAGTACGCAAGACTGGTTGATCGCTCGTGGAATTGACTTCATCCGGCATGAAGACTGGCCCTCTTCTAGTCCAGATTTAAACCCACTGGACTACAAGATATGGCAATATTTGGAGGAAAAAGTCTGTGCTAAACCTCACCCGAATTTGGAGTCTCTCCGAGCATCTCTGGTTAAAGCAGCGGCAGACATAGATATGAATGTGGTGCGTGCAGCGATCGATGACTGGCCGCGTAGATTAAGGGCATGTGTTCAAAATGGGGGAGGGCATTTCGAATAATGTAAATAAAATTATATTGTACATTTAATGACCTTTCATTTCATATATAATTTTTAAATAATTGTCAAAAGGCGTATAAGTTATTACATCAAAAGTTTGTGACAGAACTTATGACCCGACTAAGTATAGTTATATTTTTTTTAGTTCACTTCTTTTTATTAAATAGCTCAATAAAAAGGAGTGTTTCTGCACAAGGCCTAATGTGGAGATATTTTTACCACAATTTCATTTGATTTAAAAAAGTTGTATCTGAATATTACAAGTTTAAATTTTTGTTTCTTACTACATAATTCCCAATCCCAGAGGATTTTTAGAATAAAAATTTCCTATGACCTATCTGTACCAAAAATCATCCAAACAAGTTCAGTGACAGTGGTTTATATGTGAAGAAGACAAAATGATTTTAAATGAAGAATATAAAAATGATTAATTTAAAACACAAGAAAACGAATTCCTTGCTCTCATCATCATAACAAATGGACAAACAAATCTGGCTTCTACTCTTAAGAAATAACTTTGTTAATGCCTTGCAATGATAACAACACCTCAGGTTTCAAACTACACAGTTAATGTTTCACTCAATATCTTTGTCACCTAACTGACACACACAAACAAACATAACTCATATCTACATATATTGGGTTTAATAGTTGCCATAAGTGAGTCACTTTATTGCTGTTTGTAAAGTGTTGTGTTAAACATTTTTTGTTTGTGTAAGAAAATAAGGAAGAGCATAATATGTTTAATGATTATTGTGTTATATGACATAAGACTTCAGGACCTCTAATTAGGCGGTTACCTAGAATAATTAAAATTTTGTTTGTATCCAGGTGACGCGTATGGCGTATCTCGCGCGCAAGGTGCCCCGGGCGCGGCGCCTCACCTGCCGCTCGCTGCTTCTAAACATGAACTGCGATTGACGCATGAACAGGTATGCAACGCGTTCAATTACATCATACCTCTGTATATGGCCTGTTATCTCATTGTAACTAACCACAAAATACGTTAGGAACGTAAAAAAAAATTATATCTTCTATTTTTATAAAGACTTATATTAAAACCTAATAAAAAAGAAGTGCTATCTTTTGACCTCTTTCAAAGATAATAAAATGGGAACTAAAAGATAAACTCTCGCTAAAGTTGAACGTTTGATATCCAATATCTATGTATCTATGTATTTAGTTCACTCTAATTGAGTGTTAACTACGGGCTTCCTTTATGAAGTTGATTACCTTTTCCATATTCCTGAGCTAGTTTTATCTATTAATAATATGTTAATGTATCTAAGTGTATATGTCTCATGTTAGTTTTTCGGAATTTTTGTAAATTTCACTGACTTCTCTGCATAGTCTTACTGTTATGTTGACACCAATGTATGTAGTAAATTCAATCGGTTTGAATCAACTGATAAAATTGCATGCGCCTGCACCCACTGTTTTAAATTGTTCTAGCAAACTTTTACAACTTAAAAGGGCACAATATTAATGAATACTATTTTATTTGTTAGTTTCGCGCGGCTCTTCGTTTAGTTGTTAGTGAGGGTGACCCTCGAGCGACGCTGAGCGGGTTCAGTAAAATCGGCGAGGGTAGTACGGGGGTCGTATGCGCCGCCACGGACACTCGCACACGTCGCCGTGTAGCCGTCAAGATGATGAACTTAAGGAAACAACAGAGGCGGGAATTGCTCTTCAATGAAGTTGTAAGTATCCTATTTTCTACTTCTAATAATTAATGATTTGGTATTTTGTTCTCAAACCCTTTAATAACCATAGTAAGGATGTGCTACATTGTTCATGTTCTACTTATTTTCCCCAGGTTATAATGCGCGACTATCCTCATCCAAACATTGTCGAGATGCACGCTTCATACTTAGTTGGAGATGAGCTTTGGGTTGTGATGGAATACATGGCAGGAGGCGCCCTTACTGACATTGTGACGAGGGCTCGAATGGACCCTGAACAAATTGCTACTGTCTGCAAACAGTGTTTGAAGGTAAGAAACAATTTTATTACCAAATACTTTATTTTTATCGTACAATCTTAAACATAAACTTAAATGTATTTTTTTTCTAGGCGTTAGCTTTCCTGCATAGCCAAGGAGTTATTCATCGAGATATTAAATCCGACTCTATTCTCATGACTGCAGATGGCCGGGTGAAATTATCTGATTTCGGCTTTTGTGCTCAAGTCTCAGAGGTAATCAATTTATAATTATACTAAGTATGTGAAACTTAATAAATGATGAATATTTTGAGTTTTATCCAAAATGTTTTTATTACAGGAACTTCCCAAACGAAAGTCCTTAGTAGGGACACCATATTGGATGTCACCTGAAGTAATATCAAGATTGCCATATGGACCAGAGGTGGACGTGTGGTCGCTTGGGATCATGCTTGTGGAAATGGTTGATGGGGAGCCTCCTTTCTTCAATGAACCGCCGTTACAGGTATATATCGATTTCATAAATTAAAATATATAATATACTTATTTAATCCAACAGATAGATAATGAATTACGCATATTTTTTGTGTTTTGTCATACTTATAGCAAAATCATACCAAAATAAAAATAAATAAAATGAAAATAGGAGAGGTAGCTATCTAATATACGGCTAAGTTTTAACTGTACCTAATAGGGACGTCATACGATATTTCAAATTAATGTATCGTCGAAAGTATTTGATTTCGTAAGAAAATAGACTGAAAAAATATTTAGTCGTTGTCCCTATTGTAATTTGAATGTTGACCATGTTTTGTTGCAGGCGATGCGTCGTATCCGTGACATGCCGCCGCCCAGGCCGCGCGGCGCGGCTCGGTGCCCGGCGGACCTGCTAAGCTTCGTGGAGTGCGCGTTGGTCCGGGACCCGGCGCAGCGCCAGCCGGCGTCCCGCCTGCTGCAGCACCCGTTCCTGCGTCGCGCCGGCCCGCCCGCGCTGCTCGTACCTCTCATGCCGCCTGCCCATCATCACTCGGCACCCAATGACCCCGCCACCAGTGAGTTGCTTTACACAGACTATTTACTCTCTAAATATTTAAAAAATGTCACATTTAATTTCTATTTGTTTACTTATAATTATAAATATATTACTTATAATATAATACAATGACCGATCCAACGTGACTTAATAACCTGACCCCCATATCTTATCACAATATAAATACTATTTTGTTATTAGTAATATAAATTTGAAATGTTAATGCAAAGTATTTTAATTTCAGATCAATCTATGTCACCCGGGCCGCCACAGTCAGGTCGATAAAACTGGTCAAATGCTGAACAAATAGATTTGTTACTGTGTGTAACATGGCAGCTATTTATACAGATGTACTTTTAAGCTTTAGTAAATAGACGAAAATATCGAACATGACATACCAAAGTTGTTGTAATGCAACTTTTATTTTGTGTGCAGCACTAAAGTAAGACTCATACTTAGCCACTGCAGCCCCAGTGATCATTCCATTATTTATGTATTTACTTTGAAACCAATGGTATTTATCAAAACATTCAACATCGTGATTTAATTATGATACACAATTGGTATCTAAATTTCCGCCCCGTCCAGATTAGACTAATGTTGTTGAGTATCTTATATACTGAAGTATATTTCTATCAAAGTTAAATTTGCGTGTTGTGAAAAAACATATTTTCTTCTATTCTACATGGTTAGTGTTTGTTTATAAATGAAAAAGTTTTGTAAAAAGTGATTTCTTTAATTAACTGTAATTAAAATTAGAGCCATGAAGTGCCAGAAAATTATGAAAATCGATTATAAATCAGTATTATGGATTGCCTTGTACTTATATTAAAAAAAAACTTATACACCTTTCTTTAGGTTAGGATTTAGTGAATCAGTAATTTATTAATACTTTCTAAACTAACTAACATTCCGTTGAAGGATCTTCCTGTTTTGTTAAACCACAATGATGGTCAGTCACAAACATTTCTGGAGTCTTGTGTTAATATTTTATGAGATTAATGTTACTTATTTTTCTAAATTAGTTTTAACATTTCTTCTGTAATGTTCTGTGATTTCAAGCGCCTATATTATAGAGCCCGTCTTATCGTGCGTTGCCTATAACGTTTCCTTACTTTAACTGAAATGTACCTATATATTTAAATATCGGATAAGATTTTATTACTGTGTAGTTAAACAGCTAGACGAACGAAAAGAAATCAAAATTATTATTTTAGATATTGACATGCCTTAATTAGGATCTGTAGTGCCTTAAAAGCCTTTATTGTTAATATGTAGTGAACTAGTTATTGCACTTGATATTATTTGTTACAATATCTAAGGTGAAAATGACATTGTTAATATTATATAATATTAAAATAAGCACATCACAATGATATTCATCTTAATCCTCAGTTGATGAAGTGGAATCTATTCTAATTTATTGTTTTACATTCACATCATTTTTATAAGGTATTATGCCAAATATATTGTATTATTTCATATTTGTAAAATCACATTGTTAAGAACTGTTACAGAATATAGACTTGGAAACTATTTTGTATGTTATTTTACCAGGTTTGGTAAATACCAAGGCCAGTCAGAATGTCTCGCTTTCTGAGTTTTGCTTTCACTTTTTTTCGTCGAAACCCGATACATCAGATCAATCATTTCGATGACCGTTTGTAGTAAAACGTAACAGGAGACTCGTGGATTAAACCGTTATCCAAAAGCTCAAATATCGCAATCATTGATAACTACGAGTACGTATTAAAAATAAAGTATGGGTTTGTTTTATTCAGATCCTTGTAATGCTTGGACCTATAAATATATCTAGGCGACTAAATAAATACATAGTGCGCGTATCACATGTGAACAGCTGAAAAAAGGGGCGCTGTCGTTGTATGATACTGAGTGATCAAATTTCTCCGGGGTTGCTCTTGTTTGTCTCATAAATAGCATGTTTTCTATGTAGTCGGCTAATTGGCTGAAAAACTGCTATGCATGTCGTCGCTTCGATTTTGACATTAAAACGAAACAAAACTTTAAATAATAGCTTCGCATTTGTGTTAGTTATTTCTATACGCGCAGGTAAAATAGAAAATATATACTATGATAACATCAAAATGAAACTAATTGGTAATTACTTACATTAAAATTAAAGAAGTGATACATGTATTTAGGTTTATTAGTTACAATAAATTCAAACAATAGGAATATAAAAGAAAAATTATTTGTAGAACTCATATTCACTCTCATCCTTCTTGATATTGTTTTTGTAACCCTTTTCGAAGTCCTTGGGCAGAACAATATACCTAAAACAATCAGAAGCTAGTATTAGAGTATTCTTATACATACGTCATGTTATAATACTACGGGTAAGATGCAAGTGATATATTTGGCAAGCATGTGTCCATAACTGACTATTTATTGTCATAAACGTGGATGTCCACTGCTGAACTTTTAGGCATCTCTACATAGAAGGGGTTTACCATTATCTCCATTATTGAAAGCGAAGTTTGAGATAGGTACTACTTTCAAAGGTTCAGGTTTATTAAAGGTTTATTCTGCCTAACCTCTTGAATGTATTGGTCTTAGACAGACCTTACGAGTTTACGACAGTTGGTCAGAACCATGATGTGCCGCGAACCGGTTTAGAGAAGAATGGTATGATTTTTAGTTAGTGAGAGTCTGATAATCCATACCGAGGACGTTAAGACAAGTTATTGGATGTTTTCACAACTATTAAAAAAATAGTGTTGACCAAGTGTTAGGCTAATATTGATGAGTTTTCGTACCTATTCTCACGGACGGCGTGCATACCAGCCTCTTGACAAATGGCGTTAATGTCAGCACCCGATACGCGGTCCGGCCGCGCTACAAACTCTTCGAGATCCACCTCTTCCGACAAGTTCATTTTAGCTGTGATAGTCGAGAAGATAAGTCGCTTTTGACGCCTGTGGAAATCAAATAACGTAAATTTTCACATAATTCGTTACCAATATAGCAATATATTTCAAATAAAGCTTCACAACTTGAAAGTTTTTAAACTTCGCACTAACCTGTCGGGAAGTGGGAACTCAATCTTCCTGTCAAGACGTCCAGGTCGGAGAAGGGCAGGGTCCAATGTATCCGCACGATTAGTGGCCATAATTACCTAAAAAGAATTATTTATAAGGTAATAATCAGCAAAATAACATACTAATGCCATACATTCAACATTGAGTATACTATATTTACCTTAACATTGGTGGTTTGATCAAAACCATCCATCTGGTTCAGCAGTTCCAGTAAAATTCTCTGTACCTCTCTGTCTGCACCAGTTTGTGCATCAAATCTGAAAATTAACATATGTATGAGGATGACTACTAATTTTCAAGTGTGGGATAGCCAAGCTTCGGACGAATGGATCGGCTTGACCGTAGTAATATCACAGCCTTACAGGAAACCGGCGTGAAACAAACAAAGCGTTCTGCCGCGAGAGTGAGGTTACCGGAGGCCTAATCCCTCCCACTCCATCACAATTCCTTCCTAATCTAAAATTCTAAAAAGGCCGGCGACGCACTCGTAATTCATTTAATGTTGCGGGTGGCGTCGTTTGCTAACCTTAAGGTAATGCGTCTGCTCGTTTGCCAAACTATTCCATAAAAAATAATCTATACAAAAACTGAAGATCCAATCATAATGTGGGTACTGAAGGAACTGAATGCTTTTATTATATTAGGTGCATTACTTACCGCTTAGTGGCGATAGCATCGATCTCATCAATGAAGATGATAGCAGGGCTGTTCTCTTTAGCTAGACGGAAGACATCTCGCACCATACGCGGTCCTTCACCGAGATACTTCTGTACGAATTCAGATCCTACCACGCGAATAAATGCAGCTGAAATGAAAAAAAAATAGATTTCCAGACTGAAATTACAACACAATAGATATTGGATTGCTTCTCTGTACATTACTTATATTTTATTTATATGACTGTTATGTTGTATGTTGTATCACTGTGTTCATTTTATTTGGAAGCATTATACTGAATTACGTCAAGATACAGTCTCTAAAAAGTACTAACTTCCTATAATATTGAGAGGATTAAGTTGATGATTCAGAAAATGCTGTTGGTAACAAGAGTTCGATATCAATGTGTCAGCAGGTACAGGGGAGGCAAATAACATGAAATATCCAACTTACCAGTTGTATGATGAGCTACAGCTTTAGCTAACATAGTTTTGCCACATCCAGGAGGTCCATACATGAGGACTCCACGAGGGGGCTCAATACCAATCTGTCTGTAAAGCTCCACATGTGTGAGAGGCAGCTCCACAGCCTCCCTGATCTCCTGCTTCTGCGTATCCATACCACCAATGTCTGAATACTGAACATCAGGCTTTTCATCTGTGAATAAAGTTAATTATATTAAATATATAACACATCAATTATTTTTTGTTATTGTACATTGTTCTGCTATATTATTAACACATTCAGTGCCCCCGACCATGAGTGCCACCTGTGCGTTCAATACATTAATGTATAGAACGCACAGGTGCGTCGAGGGCACACAGAGTAGCGTAAGGAAACGCACATACGCGTCGGGGGCACTGGATGTGTTAATAATAATTAACTTATTAAATATTTTCAATTGGATATAAGATGGATATAAGTAATACATATATCCATCACATAAACAAAACATAAAAATTGGTCAGGAGTTATAGAATGTACAAATTCAGACCATGACTTACCAGCTTGCAACATGGAGATGGAGCTGTCTGCTTCAGGTGGCAGCACATCCACGAGTGCATTGGAGTGCTTGTGCAAAGCTACAGATGCAGAAGGCTTCAAAAGTTCTCGGTCAATAGTGGACAAGATACGGACATAGTAATTGGATCCTGTTGTACTGCCAACTGTGAAATGCAAACAATAATAAGTACTTTATATTATTACGAAAGTGTACAATCATTTGCCGGATGAAATGACGAATTTATGCCGGAAATTCTCGAGGAGGTTCGGCGCTTCTACGGTGATCTGTACACCTCAAAAGCACCGCGTCCATATCGAGACTCGGGGGATCCTAGGGCCACACTTATCCGCCACTTTACCGAAGACATGCCAGAGATCAGCCAAGACGAGATTGCGTTGGCTTTGAAGCAGCTTAAAAATGGAAAAGCCCCCGGAGAGGATGGAATTACAACGGAGCTCCTAAAGGCCGGTGGAAAGCCAGTGCTTGAGCGACTTAAACGCTTGTTTGATTCCGTTCTATTCTCGGGGAGAACTCCAAGGGCGTGGGGCAAAAGTGTCGTCATTATGTTCTTTAAAAAGGGAGACAAAACCCTTCTGAAGAACTACCGACCTATTTCTCTTCTGAGCCACGTCTATAAGCTGTTTTCCAGGGTCATAACAAATCGTCTCGCGCGAAGACTCGACGAGTTTCAGCCCCCTGAGCAGGCCGGGTTCCGAGGGGGATATGGTACCGTGGACCACATACATACAGTGAGGCAGATTGTACAGAAAACCGAAGAGTATAATCTGCCCTTATGCCTGGCGTTTGTGGACTACGAGAAAGCCTTTGATA